GTAGACTTTCAATAACGTTATGCTTACCAATCACCACGATGAAATGATAAAATCTAATAAGAAAACATACAGTCATTCAAAACATTCTTTTGCAACAATTAAATAACTTTTTTGAGATAATGGATATACTAATTAGGGGTCGAACAGTTCAGTTTAGTTCTAAAGAACTGAACTTTTACTTTGGAAAACATTTCTTACAGATATTTCTGGTAAACCTTCGAAAACTATATTAAAAAATGTAGAATTTTTTCACATATATGAAATTTTTTCAGCATCTCATTTAGACAAATGAGCAGGTGCTTCTCTTTTAAATGTTGTTGAAACAAAAAAAAATATCGATGATCTCACTGGGTTTTTTCCCAACCTCAACTTATTAAAAAACTCGGCTTTTGAAAACGTAGCAGAAACTATAATGCTTGCATTTCAAAATCAAGATATTGAATAATATATTGCTTACGCAAGCTTTCTCTTAAAGCAAACTTAATAATACGTACAGCTTGTTGGTCATATTTTGGCCTGTTTTTTAAAAACTTTATTACAAGAAGCATTGTTTCGTCGATTTCATTTGCTTTTGTATTCTTGTCGACATTTCCTTCTGTTTGTCGTACAATAAAATGTGATCTTGGGCTGAATTTATCGAAGACTAATTCAATCAAATCTCCAGTACTCGGAGTGCCACCTTCTGGATATGGAATTTCTTCGTAAAGATATTGATTAGCAGCAGCCTGACATGAAAAAAAACGTTAGATAAAAGTAATGATATAAACTGAGATTGAAAAAGAAATCTTACCATATATTTTCTGTATTCAAAGATTAGAAATTGTATACTGAAGGGAGTTTTGCTTTTTTTAATGAAGAAATCTTCACGATATTTATTTATATCTTCTTTTTATTTTATGGGTTTTTTTCCCATTATTATTTGATGTAGGCGACCATATTTTGTTTGTTCTGTCGTTTTTATGTCGTTTTATGCGTGTTAATGTTACAGTTGAAACACGTGTAAATACTTTTAAATGATAACGCACCTGAATCGTATTTTGTTTGCACTCTCAAAATTATTTTTTCTTAATTAATGCAGATTTTGTTTCAAATAGTTGATTATCTAATAAAAAAAGTATATATTTACATTCCCAAAGCGGAAAGAAAGAAAAATCTTTTGTATATGATTGTCATAGATTATATTCAGAACAAATTTACTTCATGTCCTGTAATATTTGTTTGTTATTTACGAAAAATGATCAATAAAATATAGTAAGAAGGATGTATATTTTATATGTTTTTGAAATTTTCACAATTCATATTTATTGGTATGGGAGAAGAAAAATATCTTAATTATTTATTTATTTTTCTACCTTTTCTTTTAATACGTTGGGTTATTTCCCGGTTCATAAAGGTAGAAAAAAATGACGACATGTAGCAAACAGAAAGAAACAAAAAGGCATGCGCTTCATTAGTTTTAACATCAAATATGAATCTCGTCTTTGAGGGTATGAGTGTGGATCAAGACGAGGATGTAGATATTTTAAACATCTCACACTCACACCCACTCTCAAGATTTTCGACAAGCATTGAAATGGGAAGTAGAAGAAGAATGTGATAAGAAAATGCGATCATAATATTTTCATACAATGAATTCATTACTATTGAGAACAAAAGAATGAGTTAATCAAATTAATCGAGCGAGATTTTGATTATTGAGTTGATGCTTAATATTGTTTCTTTATTTAGATATATTTTAATCAACAAACAAGAATAACAACTTCATCATGATAAGAAAGGATTTTAAGAAACTTCTTTTTATGTTGTAAATTTAAGCTTTTATTGTTATGTTTTTGGCAGTTTCAATCTTGAGGGTGACGGTGTGGGTGTGTGGGTGATTAACTTTATATTCACACCCACACCCACCTTCTATTGCAATGCTTATTATATTTTTCACGAAACTCTGTGATAATAGCATTTTGAGAACATATGTGTCTGTATGAGTGACGATGTTGACGATATATGCTTTTCATATTTATCCCGCACTCATATTTAAGATATTAATGAAATGAAATAAAAGAGAAAATATTGTTTATAAGAAATGAATAAAATTTGACTATGAATGTTTTCTATTGGATTTCAAAGTTTGAGAAATTTCTGAACACGTCCATTAAGAGTATCGGCAACATACATATTCATGTTTGTATCGAATGCTATGCTTCTTGGTCCATTTAATTGCATTGTACTATTACCCGCAATACCATTGCCTGCAATCGTTGTAGCAGTTTGATTATTCACACAGAACAATTGTATTCTATGATTGCCACTATCAACAACAAACATGTTTAAATAATTGTCAATTTTAATACCTCTTGGTTGATTTAATAATGTAGAATTAGAACCTGCGACGCCAGGCTGACCAGCGACGAAAGTACCCGAAGAAGCGCCAGGTGTCCAACGCAGCACTGAATGTCCGCCATAGTTTGTTATAAATAAATCGTTATTGATAGATGATACATGATGAATACCACTAGGTCCATTCAATGATATGTTTGTATTGTCTGTCCCATTACGACCAGCTACAAGAGTTCCATTATCACCTGTACTCGAATTTATTAAATATCGCATAACACGATTATTGCCATAATCAACAACATAGAAATATGTCTCTGTTGAATCAAAAGTAAAACATGTTGGCCTATAAAGTTGATTCAATGCAGATCCTACTGGTAAATTTATACCAGCAGTAGTGATTGCATCGGTTGATCGGTTGATAAATTTTTGTACGCGATTATTGAAGTAATCAGTTACATACATGTTACCATATCTATCAACATAGACATCTTGAGTAGTATTCAGCTGACTACTGTTCGATCCAGTCGATTGAAGAATTCCAGCTACAATCGTCGCATTTGTCGCATTATTTAATAATCTCCATATGACAGCAGTATCTGCAACATACAAAGTATTATTTGAGTCAATATATACGCCTCTGGCAGATATTATTTGTGATGTATCTAATACAGTGATTCCAGTTGTATTCCACTGCAAGTTGCCAGATATACCTAATAACGATAGAAATAAACAATTCATAATATGTCATGCATGATCTTTTATAAAAATCAATGTTTCAGTTTGGAGACTATATAACGTTTGATACTGATGAAGATAGTCTTGTTGTATCCTCACATTCTTTATATATGTAATAAGGGTAAAAGATATATACATATTATCTACATTCTCAAGATATGTTGCCTACGATTTTTTTTCTTCGATATATGAAACTATATTTACACTATATTTCCCTTAATTTTCTTATTATGGCTCTATTTTATTTTATTTTGTTAAATCCACACCAGTTCTCTGTTTTAATCTATACGATATCATAACTGTATACACATCTACAATACATATTATACATGTCGTCGTTTCGACTACATGATCCAAAATTATATTTTTTTTACTTACAAGGATTTACAGCGGTAGTTGTGACACTTGTAGTAGTGGTGGAGCTGCGTAAACAAATAATAATATAAATAACAAAACAAATGATAAATAAGTCGTATCGGTCCGTTCTCTGTGGAAATCTGTAGATCTTTGCTGTTTTTATAATATATTTCAGAAATAATCACAATGTACACATACCGCAAAGGACAGAACAATCAAAAAAACAAGTTAAAATAAGAAAAGGATTTCTACATATGTAGTAGTTATGAAAGGAGTCAAAGTTTATGAAATTAAAGTGAGATATTTTCAGCTACATTTTACAAAACAGTGGAAAGTGAAAATAAAATTGATTTCAACAGCAAGGAACAGTAACCGTATGTTATTATTCAAATCCTATTCACCTGCTTCCCATGATTATGAGTACTATATATATATTTGCATTATCATGTGTAGTGATAGAAACTATACCACGAAAATCACCGAAAGTTATTTTGATAAGGGTGTGGGTGTCGATGAAGGTTAATCTTTTCTTTATTCAAACTCATTCTAGCGATGGTAAAATAAATCTTAATTGAAACTTACGTGAATATTTCTGTTGTATCAATTGTCACAGCTAAACAAATAAATGAAAATATTTAGATAAAAGCAAAAGTTTTATTTGAAATATTTACAAATGAGATTAAATGCTCCACTAGTCTGAGAAACTTTTTTCCAGTTTTTGAATGTTAGAATTTTTAATAATTCACGATTTAATTATTGGTGGGTGAAACGGACTCGAGGGACATGGTGAACATATTTTATAACATCACTTATGTAAAGAATGGGTACCGTTTTCAGTTATCTTACTTAAAAATTTGACTTCGGTACTGGAATTCTTCTCGTATATATTTAATCTGTTACTTACCTACGGTAGCTGGAATTGCTGTCGTTGTATTAGATACTTGAACGAAGAGTTCAGATGGGAGCTTTCGAAAGAAAAAAGATCCATTGATTATTGCTACCAGATGGCCATTGGCCGATGAATACTTGCTGATTAATTGGCATGTGTCATTGTTTGTCATACAGTTCCATCCAATAGCAGCATCTAGTAGAGCAATGCATGTACATTCAGTACATGTCATGTTTGCAAATATTTTGTCAACATCTACTGTATCAAAGATGGTGTTCGAAATCTTTCCAATACGGACCAACAAGCCACTGTTGATGATAAGCAACAATAACAATAGCATAGAGCTATTGTTAAATGAATTAAATAAATTGATAGAAGTCATTGATTCGACTCGTTTTCTCACAAATAATTGATCTAAAGTTATGATTAAGATATCTTATTTTACTAGAGAAAGCTTGAAGAAGTGTTTTTTTTCCATTTAGTGATAGAGAAGACGATCCTCTGTTTCTACTGTTATGACATTAAGAGAAGAATGTCTTTAAGCTTTCTAAACGAAAATAGGACATCTCCGACATTACTTTTGATATGATCTGAACAAAAAGTTTCTATTAACTAACTTTGCCTGCATAAAATAATAAAATGCGAAATAAAAACTCTACTTTATATATTATATTGTAGTTTGGTCATCTAAAAAAAGAAATCTCAAGAATAATTGCTCTGTGACATTTTTCTCCACACGGATTGTTACACTTTCCTTTTAGTTTGAAAAAATATAAAACGCACTTGTGCACTCAAAGAAAACGTTAATGGATACTAATTGTCATTAACAAAAAAAGATTTTCAAGAAGCTGCCCATGTAAATATTTTTTGTATAAAAACGCGTGTCAACTGCGTTCA